ATAGAATAGAATAGAATAGAATAGAATAGAATAGAATAGAATAGAATTCCTAACCAAGAACCCAAGAGCTGTTAAGGTAACATCATCATCATCATTATTATTATTATTACATCATCATCATTATTATTATTATTATTATTATTATTATGAAACTTAGTCAACTGAACATTTTAAAATGTTAAATAAAAACATTATTATTATTATTGTTATTATTATTATTATTATAAAAAACTTTTATTCATTAAACATGAAACTCAGTCAACTCAACATTTTAAAGCGTATCACAAATATCATTGACTGGTGCTGATGGTTGATAATGGATTGCTGCAACAAAATGTATGTTGTTAGGGTTATAATGGTGTTATTGTTGTCATTATTGTTATTATTATTAAAAACAAACCAACAACACCAACAACACCAGCACCAACACCAACACCAACAATAATAATAATAATATCATCCTTGCAAAGCAAGCTTTAGTTACATTTCCCAGTTCTTTGCAATCCCTTTGTCTGTTTATTTGTTTGCAGGCCCTGCTGATATTTATTTTTTGCAAGGCAACCTCGTGGCAAGAACCCCTATCCCCTCTGACTGACCTGGATATGCTGGATGGTGTTTTGAGGCATTGTTGGGAGAGAAATGGGAACTTTCCATTCAGAAAAAGTTGGTTATGGAGAAAAATAGGAAGAGGAAGCGGTATTGTGCATGGTCGCTGCCTTGATTTAGTTATTATAATCAATAAATATAACAATGTTTATAATCATAAAGGCAGGATTAAAAATCTGATTTGAATGGAATGGAATGGAATGGAATAGAATAGAATAGAATAGAATAGAATAGAATAGAATAGAATAGAATAGAATAGAATAGAAATATGGAATGGAATGGAATGGAATGGAATGGAGTGGAATACTATATAGAATAGAATAGGATAGGAAAGGAAAGGAAAGGAAAGGAAAGGAAAGGAAAGGAAAGGAAAGAATAGAATAGAATAGAATAGCATAGAATAGAATAGAATAAAATATAGAATAACGGAGTTGGAAGGGACCTTGGAGGTCTTCTAGTCCAACCCCCTGCTTAGGCAGGAAACCTTGCACCATTTCAGACAC